TAAAAAAGAAATAGAGGAATCCTAATGTTTATATAAAGTTTTCATAGCACAATGCTAAATAAATGGGCTATACTGATTCTACTCATGCATTTGTTACTGAGAGCTTCAAGGAGACCAATCGGTGCTTGCTATGAATGAAATGTCATCTGGGCTTCATAAAAACCTTTCAAGGGCTGTTAAGAACTTCCGTAGGCTCTACCAAAGTCATCTTTCCCAAGTTACAGTACACTACTCTTCCTTCCACAGGATACAGCAGTTCTGCCACCAGCTCCTGAACAGACAGACCCAGGGACCAGCATATCTCCTCACTCCCTTCCTCATCTTCAGAATGCTCTTTCTTCCTTAATCCACACTTCCTTTTCTATTTACCTTAAATAACACTTGAGGAAGCTTACTCATGTGACCACGCTCTAACCCACAGAAAGTAGCACTGTCCTTGGAGCTTCCAGTAGTATAAAACCTGTGCCCTGTTCATTTGGTATGCAGCTCATTACTTTCTCCTAATGTCCTTTAATTTTCATGGCTGCTGTCCTCACGGTTATAAGTAACTTGATGAACAGACTCTGTGTTGCTTTTAGTTTTTATATTCCATAGGATTACATTATGTTTAAGGCCAACACTTAATAAATAATAAAGGGAATCGATGATCCAATGAGAACTGCCTTCCCTGGTTTCATTTTTTTATAATGTTATTTTTACTTCTTTTTTAAAACTATAAGTATGGATAGTTCAGTTACAGATAACAGATACGCCAACTGACTACTTTATATTAGAGCCAGAAAACAGAGTTAAAGGTGCTGTGTTGGAAATCTATTTCTGAAACATTCATTTTAGAAAATGCAAGGCAAATTTAACATAAAGGATAATAAAAGACAAAAGTAAAACCAAAAAGAAAGAAGTGTTAGCAATCTAAACATTTTGTTCCTTTTTACTCATCACTTTCACTTTTACTTTATGTATTCATTTGATATGTTATTCCCACAGACACGTTACAAATGTACTACAAAAAGAATACAGGTCTTTTTAAACATTTATTTGCTTTATTCTTTAAGTAAAGTTTTTAGCTCTGTATCTGAGGATCCTACAGCCACCGAAAGACAACATTTGGGAAAAAAAAAACTTGCTATAATGAATATGTACAAACTTTTTTCTTGTCATTATTCCCTACATGATGCAGTATTTATGACATTTACACACTGTAATATTTACACTTTTAAACTGTATAATAAATTGTTATAATACTTATAATATTTCAAGAATAATCTAGAGATGACTTAAGGTAAGCAGATATTTACAGGTTATGTGCCAATACTGTGCCATTTTACGTAAGGAACTGGAGCATCTACAGATTTGGAATCAGGAATTTGAACTTGGAATCAGGCCTCTCACAGAAACCTAGGGATGACTACCACGTGATAATTGATGTTACCCATATACAAGCATTACATAAATAGGTGAGGGTGTAAAAATTGTATTTATGGGGCCAGCATTTTGGCACAGCGGGTTAAGCTGCTGCCTGTGACGCTGGCATCCCATAGGAGTGCCAGTTTGAGTCCCAGCTGCTCCACTTCCAATCCAGCTCCCTGCTAATGCGCCTGAGAGAGCAGCAGCAGAGGATGGCTGCAGTGGTTGGGCCCCAGCACCCACAAGGGAGTTCTAGAATCAGCTTCGGCCTGGCCAAGGCCAGTTGTGGCCATTTGGGAAGTGGACCCACAGATACAAGAAACCTCTTCCCCTTCTCATTTGTCTTTCCAATAAATAAATAAACCTTTCCCAAAAAACCCTGTACTTAGCAAATAAACATCACTTACCAATTTCATAAAGTTTTCAGTTGACTTTTCTTTTTCAGTCAAATGCACATGAAAACTGTACTTCTTAAATTTTGTCTTTGGCATTTCCCTTTGGCACATCTTTGAAGCATTTTCTGGCTACATAACACTGAATTGATACAGAGCACATGCATTGCAGAAAACTAACAGAAAGTAACTTCTTTCCTTTTAAAAACCATGTAGTGGGGCTGGCGCTGTGGTGCAGCTGGATAAAATCTCAGCCTGCAGGGCCAGCATCCTGTGTGGGCACTGGTTCCAGTCCCAGCTGTTCCTCTTCCGATCCAGCTCTCTGCTATGCCCTGGCAAAGCAGTAGAAGATGGCCCAAGTCCTTGGGCCCCTGCACCCACATGGGAGATCTGGAAGAAGCTCCTGGATCCTGGCTTCGGATCAGTGCAGCTCAGGCTATTATGGCCAATTGGGGAGTGAACCATTGGATGGAAGACTTCTCTCTCTCTCTCTGTAACTCTCACTTTCAAATAAATAAATCTTTTTAAAAATAACCATGTAGTAAAGAAATGAACAGATCAAACTTTTTCATGTTTTCTTTTTTTAATTTTTTTTTTTTACTTTTTTGACAGGCAGAGTGGACAGTGAGAGAGAGAGAGAGAGACAGAGAGAAAGGTCTTCCTTTTCCGTTGGTTCACCCTCCAAAGGCTGCCGCGGCCGGCGCGCAGCAGCTGGCGCGCCACACTGATCCAAAGCCAGGAGCCAGGTGCTTCTCCTGGTCTCCCATGCGGGTGCAGGGCCCAAGCACTTGGGCCATCCTCTACTGCACTCCCTGGCCACAGCAGAGAGCTGGCCTGGAAGAGGGACAACCGGGACAGAATCTGGCGCCCCGACCGGGACTAGTATTCATCTGTTTTCAAAAACCAATTAAAACTTCTTCCCCAAATATTTTCTATTCATGGTTGTAGAACCTTCAGATACAAAGAGCTAGTAACTCTGCACAAACAAAATAAACAATTGTTTAAAAAGACCTGTGTTCTTATTGCAGTACATCTGCAACCTGTGTAGATGGCAATATGTATATCAAATGAATATGTAAACTAAAAGTGAAAATGTGATTAGTAAAAAGGAACAGAATGCTTAGATTATTAATATTTATTTTTCATTAGTTTTATTTTTATTCTTTTATACTAATATTTCTTTCTCGTTGGTTTTACTTTTATTCTTTTATTTCTTTAGAAGATTAATGCCCTTAGAAAGACAAAGCAAAATTTTCAGTCTTTGAAGACACAAAAAATGCAAAATTCTAATATTATGTGTTTACCTTAAATAACAAACATTACATGAATGTGAACAGGTCCAGTCTTTCTGTTTGGTTAATTTTTATTAAGATTTTGCTAGTGAGTATTTTACACTTTCATTTTTAGCTAACTGGCTATCATCACACAGTAAGTGCCTTAAATTTTCCCTCTGTATGGTGATGGCTTCGAATACCTACATTACATCTTGGTCCCCATGGTCCTGAGAAGAAAACAGGCAGGAACACACAAAAAATTTTTCAATTAACCTTTCAGAATAGTTTTATAAGCTAACATTGACTATGCAACAGCTTTCATACTACTAGGCCAAAGAAAGAACAAAATCACTAATTGATCACTTTTGAATTAACCTAAATTTAAAAAAGTTTTTTAAGGAATTTATCTAAGATCACACAATAATTATACCATTATTATATCTTAAATACAGGAGATGAATAAAGGTAATTTAAGAAAATAATTTTAGGTGCAAAAAGCCACAACTGAATATATTCTCTTAACTATATATTTTTGCTTATATTGTATAATAGGATTAAGAAAAGGGCAATATTTTTTTAAAGAGAATTAAGGGAAGAAAGTCTTCATTTGCTAGTCCTAGTCCAGAATTTCTACAGTACCAGAGATATAAAAAGTAGTGACACTTTCACCAAAATTAGGGTTTTTTCCCCTTTTAGATTATTTTCCAGGACTTCTGCTGCAAATACCTTTGTCACTCAATGGAAGCATACATCATTTTACACAGTAATTCTCTGCATGGAAAAGCATATTAATACATCTAAGTCCCCTGACAAACACTGCCAAGGAAATACGCTAAAGATTCACAGTGGAAATTTACTGTCTTAAACTGATAGCTTTGCTCTTTTTTCTCATTTAACAATGATCCTTATAGAGGTTGCCACATAATAAATCATTCCTCCAGTTACCTTTTGGAGAGCGCACACACACACAGAGTCCCCAACCCAACCAAGGCCATTACAATACTATAACAAATAACTGAAACAACCCACATGTCATGACGCGAGTAGAAAGCGCTACCTGCCGTGATCTTCAAGAGAAAAACTGTGGATGCTGTAGGGAACACTGCCTGATGAACACACACGAGGTTCCATGAAAAGGATAGGATCAACGACTGGTACAGAACTGGGAAAACACATCCGGCTGGAAAAAACCTCCTGTTGCTTCTCTGTCCCACACCTCTGATGTACTCAGCAACAACTTGACACTAAATATCCCTACTCCACTTATAGGAAAGGTTTGAGAATAAGTTTTCAGTTACCCCACAAGTGAGAGCTATAGTTTTGAATTTCCACAATGGAATTATAAATGTATTTAAAAGTTATATGGGTTTTAATTTATAGTGTTATAAATAAATGATAGTTGAATTCTATACCTGTTATTTGTTATGAGGCAAAAAAGACCCTTTGGTATACCTTAGAACATTAATCACCATTAAGAATATTCAAAGGGGGGCCGGAGCTGTGGTGTAGCAGGTAAACCCGCTGTCTGCAGTGCTGGCATCCCATATGCGTGCTGGTTCAAGTCCCAGCTGCTCCACTTCTGATCCAGCACTCTGCTAATGGCCTGGAAAAGCAGTAGAAGATGGCCCAGGTCCTTGGGCCCCTGCACCTGCATGGGATACCCAGAAGAAGCTCCTGGCTTCTGGCTTTGGATCGGCACAGCTTCGGCCATTGCTGTCAACTAGGGAGTGAACTATCGGATGGAAGACCTCTTTCTCTCTCTCTCTCTCTGCCTCTCCTTCTCTCTCTGTGCATCTCTTTCCAACAAATAAATAAATCTTTAAAAAACAAAAATAATATTCAAAAGGAAAGAAATGGATTCTATAACTAAACTATCCATCACAGTATCTACCAAAGAAAATATTTGCTGAATGAATACACTACCCACAAGTTATTAAAAACATGTTTAATAATGCTAACTCATATAATCCATATTTCCAGGCAAAGTATATAATTCTATAAGGAAGCTTCAGTTTTATTTACATCCATGGTGCTGATGTTTTCTTATAGTCACTACGTAGCTGAGTTATAAAGCAGAATGTTCAAAGAGAATGACCTGTGCCTCACTTTCAGGAACAATTTGCTTATGAAGCTGAACCTGCTCCAACCCAGGGCTTTGTAGAGGATCTGGGGAAGTGTTACAGATTGAGGCAGTTACATTATACTTTGCTGACTGATAAAAGCTGTAGTATTCAAGTCTATTTTCCCCTGGGTTTTCTGGTGCTGTTAATTTCTGCTTAAACTGAACAACTTTGTAGATGAGAAAAATGATTAAAACACAAGCTAAAATGAAAAAAGCTAGCAAAATGTCAAAAGCCTCATTCAACTTTTCAACTTCTTGTGTACAAATGAGAGATGTTTTTCCCGACATGGAAGCAGCATCAATTGGTAGAGCACTGTTCTTTTCCAAGTTCAAGTTAACAGAAGAAGTAAGTTGTATTTGCACAGGTAACACTGCAGTGGTCTCTAACGGACCACCAAAGGTATTCTCTGGAAAAGATCTACTGGCAGGTGACGTACGAATTTGTTCCCAGAAAGCAACTCTCTCAGTCTCAGTATTTTCCAAATGTTTCCCACTTGTGGTTACTTTACGCCAGGCCATCATTAACGCAGTTGTCTTGTGATGAACGTGACGAAAGTGTACAGCCCCAGCTCCGGATACCTCTGTTGAAGATGTAATGCAGTTTGTAATGTCAGTCCATTTAACGTAATGCAATGCTCTGCCACGCATGGATGGGGGATTCTGACAAAAGATGTTTAGAGCAAAGGCTGAAGACTCCAGCCAGTCTCGAAGGCCCAAAAGGTTGCAGTTACATTCCCAAGGCTTAGAGTTTGCCTGAAGATGAGTCAATGAAGACAATGGCTTAAGGACCCCTGGATGTAAGTCTGCAAGATTATTAAATGACAGATTAAGGATCTTCAAAGATGCTCCCATGTTTTCAAATGTATCATTATCAATGCTGATTATTCCATCTATCTTAAGGGAAACTAAATAACAAACTAAATGTGTCAGAATTTAAATTTTCTAAATCATTATGGCTTAAGATAAAATATTTAAGTTTGTTAATTCCACTAAACCATTCCTAGTAACCTTTCTAATTCTTGAATTTTTCAAGAAGAGAGACTCTAAGTTGTTAAGTCCTTTAAACGTAAAGGGCTGTATTGCTTCAATAGGATTATGAGACAAAGAAAATCTTCTAAGATTATTCAGTACTTCAAAAGCATTGTTAGTACTTTTGTTATTACTTTCCAGATACAAACAATCCAGTTTTCCAAGATGCTGAAAGCCTGAGTCTGATATATTCTAAATATTATTGTTTGACAAATCAAGTACATGAAGAGCAACCATCCCAACAAAGGCACTGCTCAAGGGCAGTGAGGTAATTCCTTTGCAGATTTAAGTACTGAATGGAAACTAAATCACTAAACACTCCTCTTGGCACAAAAGATACTAGATTTGACTGTAAATATAAATTATGAAGATTTAAAAGTTCCTTAAATATTCCAGGATCTAGGCATTTATAAAACTATATTCAGATAAAGAAAACATAGATGTCTCATCCGAACAAGGCTTTGGGATACACATATACAATGGCAGAATCATCCAAATACAACGCTACCAGAGAATGAAGTCCTGTTGATTCTTTCAGTTATATGAGATATATTACTTCCAGTCAGATACAGAAAAACTTTACTTTCAGGAAAATTCTTAGGACTGCTTGAAAGGCCTAAATTGTAACATGTTAATCTGTCTCCCAGTGCAGAGCTGGTAAACAGACGGACATCCAAGTTTCTCTTTAAGTGACAGTAATACGACATAACAAGTAACAAGTAGAAGCTGCCACAGACAAGGCAGAGCAAACTGTAATCCACACACAGCTTGTTCTTGAATTCTCTGCTCATATCAGAATCGGCTATAAAAAGATAAGGTAAACTTTAAATGACCAAAAAGTTCTTAAAATGAAAGTTAAATAACATGCAAATGTTTATGTTCTATTTTTATTAAGATCATCCCATAATACATCATAAATCATACTAAAAAATGACTGTTTGGAATATAGTCTCCCATCGCCAACAACTCTGGTTATTAAACCACTGTTTGACAAAAGGATAATTCCTTTAATAAACTGTAAAAGGAAATGTTTGCTAATTTAAAAGATTACAATTTATTATAACAAATTTTCTAGTCATAACAGATATTCTAATGATAACAGTCTTTGTATATAATATGCTCTAGCTACTTAAAGTCAAGTATGAACTACTATTATAATTTATGAAAATATAAATTCATTTCAGAAAACTTAAAGTTCTTTACAAAACTAAATTTTAAGTTACAAGTTCGTATTTAGATCAATAATCTTACCAAGAACAGGAAATTCTTATTATCAGTATTCAGTTGATTCAAGAAAAGGTTTTCTTTGTCAGTCTGAAGAACGACATCTCTAAACTCCACTTCTTTCTGAGGCACTGTTGACCTCCCTCCCCCCGCCCTTTTGTAAGTCACGGTTTTCTCAGGAAACACCACTCTTCACATTGGTTCCTCTACAGTCAGTGTGTAAAACAGAGGTTGCCATGGATACAGGAAACTGAGAGACAGGAAGTAATTTTATCTGTGTTTCAAATGTATCGTTGAAAGACAATCTCAGGAACTTGTTTTTTCACAATGCAGTTAGATTTTTCCTGATATATACCTCAATGACATACATAATTTTAAATATAAACATTTATAAAATAATATCTAAATTTTTTAGATATTCACAAGCTAAATATCAATAAGAATCTAGTTACCAAAAACAGGCTGAGTGGAAAGAGCAAGGTTTGAAATAAGAAGCTTCTAAAGTAATATGATTTTAACTAAATCACATGTTTGTTTTATAATTATTTTACATATATGTGATGCATACCTATCTGAATTGGGTTGAACCTTTTAAAACAAAAATATATTTATCTAATGTGATTTTTTAAGGTAAAGACTTAAATGGTTTATATTATATTTAGTCATTAATTCTCTAAAAGGTCAATTACTTAGACTAGTTTTTATTTTTATTAATACCTTGATAATATTTAAAATAGCAGTAGTAATATATAATTTTATACTTTAACTCTTATGATATTAAAGCACCTTTCACTTCAAGACATTTAGATAATATGAATTACTTCCATATCACGTATTTGATATAATACCCCCACACAATCAGCACTTTTCCATGACTATAAAAGGTCAGAGCACACATCAGAAAGCAGATCTTTACCAAAATGATTTATGACTCTCACAACTTTCTACTGAGGCTGGCCATTGCTGCTGTTATTTTATGAATAAAGAAACTATAAAACAACGACAAAACACAGAAAATATATCAATTAGGACAAGGGACTAGGTTTCTCAAGATCTTTTTGTTTAATATTTTTTGCTTAGTATTCTCAATAATATACAAAGTGAAAACATCGTTTTAATTGAATCATGGGAGAGTCCAATGAAATCAGAATAAACCGGAAAGGGGGAGAACTACAAGGCAGTAAGAGCAGAACATTAATTAATTTTTTTCCTCTACTCCAGCAGTCTACAAAGAAGACAAAAATACTTACTATTAGATCTTACAAGTAAAAATTTTAGAAAATCACACTAAGGAAAAATAACAATACAATGAATCTCGTTTTTCTCACCTTGTAAAAAGTGAGGCAAATGAAATCATAGTGACTACAATGAAAAGACTAATCTAAACAGTATGCTTAACTCTTAGGTTTATGAGGTAAAAATTACAATTTTCAGGGATGAGCATTTGGCACAGTGGTTAAGTTGCCACTAGAGATGCTTGTACCCCATATTGTTCTAGTTCCTCCACTTCTAACCCAGCTTTCAGCTAACACATAGAATGGCAGGCAGCAGGTAATGGCTCTAGTACTAGTGGAGAAGTAGACTGAGTTCCAGACTCCTAAGAGTCTCCCTAGCCCAGCCATCTGGAGAGTGAACCAGTAGATAGAAGATCTTTCTCCCTTTCAATCAAAATTATAATAAATATGTATTTTTAATTCCAATATTTAACAAAACAAAATTTAGCCTTTCTGTTAGTTGCCAGCTCTTAGAGGCAAATGATGACTAAAAGAGAACACAGACATCAAAGATGCATATTTAGGTAATTAAAATCTTTTCATAAACTTTAAATCCTGTTAACATGTCTTGCTAAATCTTCATATGACCTCCCACGTGTAATCATTCTACCCAATTTGAATTTTGAAATTTTTATTTTGCTCTGAATATGCCAAAATGGTTCTTCATAACCTACTTCTGAATCCTACTAATTTTCATTGCAACTATTCCTGAACACAGCACTCAGCCTCCTAAATGGGCTTCACCCTACCTTTTTGCAGGAAATTGATCCTATGAATATTTTTTTCTCATTCTTATGCTGAATCTCCATTATACTGCTTCTGCCTTAAAAGAGTCAGGTGTTTCACATATCAACATACATTTATTTGCTTGTTCATTCAGATTCTACTATTATAAGAATGAGAATAAATAAGAAAACAATTATTCTATTACCATCTTCCAAATATACAGCATCTGTATCTACTTATCTATATATATCTATTTATCTATCTATCTATGTCTGTCTGTCTGTCTATCTATCTATCTCCTCTATGTATAAACCACATATAAAGAATGGCTTATAATAACAGTTCTTGATCTTACATGGACCTTTAAAGTTACTTTATCAACTTATAAAATTGAGACAACCAAACCTTGAAATGGAACCTAAAACTGAAATTTAATCTAGTAAATCATTTAAAATGTATCATTTTGCTCAATATAGGAGGTACTTTTAAGGAGGAGCAGCATCCTAATATAGACTATAAGGGAAACATATCTACACAATGGAGAAATCAGATGATGCCTAGACAAGAGTTAACATCATCACTGAGAAGCAGGTAAATGTGATTTTCCAAAAAGGACACAACATACTTATGCAATGTAACAATGAGAGATGCACAACTGGAATCTAATCATAAGGAAACACCATCAAACAAATGAGAGATGTTCTATTCTGTTGTGGGTACAAGGGGGTAGAAGGGGATAAACAGACAAAGAGGTAAAAAGAAATGGACAGAGAAAAAAGGATTGTATTCCTTAAAATGTTAGCTGTAAGAGACACAGACTGAGGATATACTACAGAATAAAAGACACAATAAAGACATGACATCTAAAATGCAGTAACAGATCCTACATTGAAATATCGAAAGGTGAATGGCTATGATATATGTGACATACAGGCAAACGGTTCAGAAAATACATGTATCTGACAGAGAATACCCTGGCAAAATTTTAAATTCAAATCACAAGAGGTGATTCAGGATAAAAGTTATGGAATTTCCCACTATCGTTGGGAGGTTTATAGTCATGTCTAAATAAGAATATCATGTGACAGCACTATGACTTTCATATAAAGTTTGTTCATGTACATTATTGTTAGGATATGCCACAATTTCTAAGTTGTCAAGATACTCTGTAAAATAGAAACAAATTATTTTGGTGCTACTGTAGCACAGCAAAACAGGAAATTCCAGGGCAGGTAAGGCCACAACCTGTGGTGCCGGTGCCAGCATCCCACAAGGGCACCAATTTGAGTCCTGGTTGCTCCACTTCTGATCCAGCTCCCTGCTAACATGCTTGGGAAAGCAGCAGAAAGCGGCCCAAGTGCTTGGGCCCCTGCACCCACATGGGAGACCCAGAAGAAGCTCCTGGCTCCTGGCTTCAGATCAGCAGAGCTCTGCCCACTGCAGCCATTTGGGGAGTGAACCAGCAGACAGAAGATCTCTCCCTCTCCCTCCTACTCTCCTTGTCTCTGAAACTCTGCATTTCAAAAATATATATATATATATATATACATATATATATATTTTAAAAGTAGGAAATTCTCTATTTACTAAACTATCAGCAAGGAAATCTCCTAAGAAATTTCTGGCAACAAATCTACCAATGAAAAACAAAAATAAGCTTGTATGGGTAAGAAACATAGAACTTAACTATGACTATGATTTTAGAGCTTTAAAACTAACATGATGCTTCTAACAGTGCACTGACACTTGGACACTTTCAAGGGAACATAATTTATCAGCCCCTGGAGCAAGACTTTACAAGAACAGTTTTAACTTCTTAGTATCAGTTCCTGTTACACAGTCATTTTGAAAAGCATGCTGTTCTTTCTACAGACAATTTGACGTCCATCCTCACAACTGCTACATGATGATACAATTCTCTGTTGTCTATCAGCATCGTTTTATGTTGTAAAGCACAGCAAGTGAAACCTGCCATGAAACAGGAGGGCTGTTTCTTCTGAAAAAGCCAGTAGAGATACATTAGAAATCAGAGTAGCCTCTTTCCGCTGGTTCCACATGACTGACAACTTTGGAACAGTAACCTCTCCTATGTTCCTACATGCAATATATTCTGGTTTTGCTGAGAGAGTTTAGTGATTTCACATGGGAACTATATCAGAATTTCCCTCTCCTGCACATCTCTCCTGTTTTGATGGTTCTTATTTCAAGCTTATATTGCCTATTTCTAGTTTATCACAATTCCTAGGTTTTTTTGGACAGGCAGAGTTAGACAGGGAGAGAGGGGGAGGGGGAGAGAGAGAGAAGAGAGAAGAGAGAAGAGAGAAGAGAGAAGAGAGAAGAGAGAGAAAGGTCTTCCTCCCATTGGTTCACCCCCCAAATGGCTGCTACGGCTGGCGCGCAGTGCCAATCCGAAGCCAGGAACCAGGTGCTTCCTCCTGGTCTCCCATGTAGGTGCAGGGCCCAAGCACTTGGGCCATCCTTCACTGCACTCCCGGCCCACAGCAGAGAGAGCTGGACTGGAAGAGGAGCAACCAGGACAGAATCCGGCACCCCAACTGGGACTAGAACCCGGAGTGCTGGCACCGCAAGCGGAGGATTAGCCTAGTGAGCCGTGGCGCCGGCCTAATTCCTACAGTTTTAAACACAAAAACATAAAGGAAACAGAAGAAAGAGAGAATCATCCTTTTTTTTGTTTTTTAAATTTTTTTTTTTTTTTGACAGGCAGAGTAGACAGTGAGAGAGAGACAGGGAGAAAGGTCTTCCTTTTTGTCGTTGGTTCACCCTCCAATGGCCGTGGCCGGCGCGCTACGGCCAGCGCACTGCACTGATCCGAAGGCAGGAGCCAGGTGCTTATCCTGGTCTCCCATGGGGTGCAGGGCCCAAGCACTTGGGCCATCCTCCACTGCACTCCTGGGCCACAGCAGAGAGCTGGCCTGGAAGAGGAACAACCAGGACAGAATCTGGCGCCCCAACCGGGACTAGAACCCGGAGTGCTGGCACCGCAAGCGGAGGATTAGCTTAGTGAGCTACGGCGGTGCAGGCCAAGAGAATCATCCTAAAAGACAATTTACTAAGTGCTATGACAGCTTTTTCCAGTAACCAGAGAAAACCTTTGTGAAATGATTTCCTTAACTCAAAAGACATTAAAGTTACATGAATGCAGACTGTATCCAACAAAGGAAGTAGCATATTGAGTTAAAAGTACAGATTTAGGAATCATTGCCAGCATTTTGAGGATATTACTTACCTAATGAACAGATATTGTTGGAAAGAAGTCCTACAATGAAATGGAATGCCCCAAGAAGCAGGGACTTTCTATTAGCAATGCCTTC